ATCCACTAAGTTTCAACTGAGCTGGAAGACGGGCCAATCAGTGAGCTGTGGGGAGTGTTTTGAATAACGAACACAAGTACTAGTTGGAATTTGAATTGAGCTCTGATGAGCCATTTCTGCACTTCTGAACCTTTTTTATTATTTCCGATATGCCATTGCAGATATAAAATGATGCCTGATTCAGAAACTGAGAGACCTATATTTCACCCAACAAGTCCTCCAAATCAAACTACAAAATACATGATTTTTAACACAGAGAAGCATGTTCTTGTCTGACGCCACTATCAGCAGGAAGACATTGTTCATCTGTGCCTTCCAGAAATGTCAAATCAATGTGAAATCACTATTGTTAGATAAATCATTTTTATTTAGGGGAGCATCGCAATTTAAGTTAAAAGTGCTATGTGGACAAGGGGTCACAAAAGCAAAATTAGTTGGTTGGCTTGGGTTTTGCTCTAAGCATTTGTCACAAAAATGTATTTTGATGCCTTATACTGCTGGGCGCCACCCTCCATAACTGTTGTAAATGCTAGTAGAGTCTAGAAACGATGTCAGAGTACCAGAGTTTCAAAAACCAGTAATGATGGGGAGTTTTCATCAACAAGCCCACTGTATAACCTCCCCATAAAACAAACTTATTTTGTGCTATTGTGAATTGTACGAATCATACTTTTAGATCCTTACATACTCTAAAACAATGTTATGCATTAATCCCTGTGAGCAAATGCATAACATGATACAACAGTATAACTGCACAGGGAAAAATAAAAACAAATGTTGTAACTGCAATCCTTGGGGACGCTGATGAGCAAACAAATAAATAATTCTTGTTTTCTTCATTCACGAAACGTTTACTTTTTGCAGATGTGTGTGATGTGATGTGGTTTACGCTGAAATCCTCCTTTTTTTTTTTTGTGCTGGGCTTGTAGCCAGTTAGAGGCCTCCCTCTCACTGCTGAATCACTCTGACACATTCGAGGCTTGCGCGCTCTCATACACAGACCCACGGTGCAAACTGTTGCCTGGTCCTCCACACTCCAGACCAAAACCACAGACAGGATGACTGTGGCTTCAATGGTCAGAGAAAGCAGAGGGGTCCAAAAAAACAAACATAAACACTAAGACACTACGATAAATAAACCAGTTCACCTCTATGAGGCAGAATAAACAAAAACACAGACTTCCACACCTTCGATTGAAATCATGTCTAGTCTCTTTAAACAAGTGTTTTATACAAACTTTAGGGAGTGAAATGGTGGAAAGCCCAAAATGGAGGCCTTGGCTGAGGTTTCAGAGCGACATGACCATACAGTGCTGTAATTATATGTGCTGTAATGCTCTGTTGATCATACTGGTGCAGAGACACATAAGAGTCCTTATAAAAACACAGCTTTTCCACAAACCGTGACCAGAAAACATAGCTTTGCATTGTAAACTCTCATAGAAAGAACACAGGCGAAAAACCTCTCAGTCCACAACATTAGAAGGCTGCAGCTCATAAGAAACATAAGTAACGTTTCAGAAATCACAAGCATGTAGAATCACCAGAACATGGCTCTGGTTTATGCAGGACAACTTAATGTTACAGTTAATTGTCACATGCACCATCTGTGGCTTTATCACATAGTGGCAGGATAGTATGTGTGAACTATACTGTGATTATCAGCAAATTGGCTTTTGACAGGGGCGCCTTTGTGACTTGGTGGTTAGACAAACTATGAAAACCTAAAAGGGATTTGGATTCAGAAATGTAATGACAAGAATTTAGCATTTACTGTAAACTGACTGCACGTTTACTGGTCATAGCAAGTTTCAGGTCATATGAAGTGTAGCAGATTCCTCCACCCTTGATAACAAAAACTGTGTATGTTTCAAAGTGATGTAAAAATAGAGAAAATTGTGATCATATTGCTTGCACATGTGATGGACAGATTGTGGCAGCTTAAAAGAAAAGTACTTAAAAAAAATTATTCCAGTTTATTGCAACTAATTAGCGCAACAACACAACAAAGTACAGTAGTTTTGCCGGTATTAATATGCCTGCTGGTGGCACTAAATGAAAAGTTAAAAATCATCAAACTCATTAAGAAGCATCCATTTTTACCAAATTTCATGGCAATTCATCCTATAGAGGCTTAGATATTTCAGATATAAGTGGTGGACACTGCCATCCCTATAGAGCCGCGCTGCTAGCGTGGCTAAGAATAAAAGCCAAGTTGTAATTAACTGCATGTATCCTTTAATGAAAAACACACTGACAACATAATAGCAAGAGAATTTCAAACGTTGCTGAATCATGTTCTAACTATTTGACAATATCTCTGCCATTATGATTCTACAAGCAGGATATTTCTAATGGCTGCGACACTTGATTGATCAGTTGGAATGTCCTTTGTGCCATTGTTTCAGACTGAATCACAGGCGAGTTGTTGATTCAGACGCACACTTCCTCCTCATCTCTTCCTGTGCTTTACTGTCGAACTGCTCTCTGCTGCCAATCGGGAAGCTTTCTAGACTGTAGCTATGAACGTTTCTGAGTCAAGTTATTCTCTCCAATTTGCATTGTCATTGTATTACTTTATGATAAGGCCACAGTGCCTGTAATTTGACTGAAATGGTGCTGTGATGATGTTTTATTATTTCCTGAAGATGAGTCAATAATAACGGTATTGGAAAAAAAAATTAATATCTGCTGTGCTGTGTTTATTATTTCATTATCAGTTAATCTGCAGATTATTTTCTTTATGAAGACTTCGATCAGTTGTTTGGCCTATTAAAAAATCTGAAAACTGTGAACAATCAAAGATATACTTGAGCCGAAAGGGACGTCATCCAATGTCTTGTAAGACCAAGAAAAGGAGAAAACTCTCACTTGTAAATTAACTAATAATAAATCTTTGTGGACCACAATCTACCATAGAAATAAGTAAAATTATTTGTCTTTTGGTGTATCCTTACCTTCAAAACACAGTCGGAAAACACATAGAAACCTTATTGTGTTACAGTAACAAACAAGCAGTACAATTATACCTTCATTTTTATCACTTTTTATGAAAAATAGCTAGAAACATTGTTCATAAAGCTCTGCAGCTGCACAGTGACATTCTCTTCAGCCTTTTGTCGGTCATTAAACATGTCAGTGACATTTAATTACACCATTGACCCTTCTAATGTTTTGGTCCTAATTCTTTTTACACATCAGTGCATCATCTTCATGCTCATTATCCCACCATGAAAAGCTAATTTCTTTAATCACAAAGTCTTTCTTCTTTTTTCTTGATATTGCCTTAAAAGACAAATTATTTCTGTCCTCCTCTTTCGGGGTCAGAAAGTTGTGGGAAACGCTGCTTTAAAAACAGATTCATAAGGAACTTTGGTCACTGCGTTTTTAGCTGATCTTTCTATGATAAAACTATGCAAAGGCCAACACTTCTTCATCCATATTTATTAGCACAGAGAGTTCCTAAAACATATACAGACCAGGCCATGAGGTCAAGAGCCTTTGAAATCTTCAGAGGAGCTTAAGAAAACAGAAACACTCTCCACTGAACTCTTACAACAATCACAAACTGTTGCTGTCAGTGTTGTCTCTGAGCAGAAGAACTCTTTGTAAGGAGAAAAAAGTCGGTAATTATATTAAGCAAGCAAGGAACTATTAAATTGGGTGCAAGACTTCATTTCTGCAGTCTTGATCCTTTCTCTAACACTTATTATGTCTTGGACGTGTGTTGATCTTGGTCAATGCTAGACTTTGTCTTGGCTATTATAATAGGGGGCCACTGCACTACAATAGAGCTGATATGCTTTTGACTAATGGAAAATGTTCATGTTGCAGCTGTATCAATGGTTTATTCTTTGTCTTTGTCTTTGTGTTGTTTTCTTGAGTCAGGATGAAATAGACCTGAGTAATTCTAGTTTTGGTCTTAAATTGATATCAAAATACTCAACTGGGGCTTGAAGTTGACACAGTAGCTTGCACTTATTTCAAAGCATAGCCATGCAGAAGTTTTACAGGATAAGTTTGGTTATATTCTGTATTTTTCTTACTTTCAACAAAACCCATGATGAAATGACATGAAAAGACCAAAACCAACAATGGACTCATCCTACTAACAAGTGCTGTCTGTGTAGTCAAAGCCTGATATAGCGTATTCCTCCCTTACATAGAGCTCTATTGTCGATCAAAAACTATTAAAAACACATCAATTAGTCACATTGTTGCACTGGCTGACATGATCCTTTTATGATGATGAACAAACATATTTTGTAGCTGCCATAAATACTGAACAAATGCTGTACTATAAAAAACTACAGCTGTTTCTGAAGAAATCACCCGGCCTATTCTAAAAACGAAACCATGTCTTTATGAGCTATTTTTAACGATTAATACCTTCACTAAGAAGCAAGAGCACAGAGTACCAAACCACTGTTGGTTTTGGTCTTTTCATATTTGTTAACAGATAAAAAACTAGAAAAATAAGACTCGTCCTTTAAATCTGTAGCTAAAAAGAAGCTAAGCTAAAATCCAGCAAATATTAACATACCAGTAGTATGTAGTCACACTATGATTATATATTGACTCACTGGTGCTGTAGGGTGTCATATATGCATCGTGCACATCAGGATGTACTTCAAGTGGGGTGGCATATGCAAAAAAGAATCTGAACCTATTTCACAGCTTTGCCAAACTTTACAGTCTGTCTCTCACAAGCTGGTTGATCATTGGTGTTCAGATCTCCAATCACTCGTTTGACTTGTAGTTTCTTACGAGGGGAAACCGCCGATCAGTCTGCAGCCACGAAAGGGAAACGCTGAACCGCTACAGGCAGCTAAACCTGCCAAGTCATCACAAAACTCTGCATCGAACATCGACATAAACACAGATGTGCACACACAGACCTTGCCTGTTCCATGTACCTCAACACACACATGCAGGCACACTGCTTTCTTTTCTTTCCATTATAACCTTTGTTTTGGCTGAAGACTGTGCAGATTGCTTACTCTTGTGGTCTTGACCCTTGTGGTAGGGGAGCTGCTGTCCAAACCCAGTTGGAGAGGTGTGAAATCAAACCCCATCTGCTTTGGCAAAACCTACCATGAGCAAAGAAGCTGAATGAGCAACAGAGTCTGCAAAACCCAATTCTAAACTTATTTTGAATCATTTATTCTGCACTTGATACACATTTTCTTTTCTGAATTGAGCAAGACCTACTGTATAAAAACAACTGTAGCAATTCAGTGTTTTGTTGATGTATGTTGGGTAAAATATGGGCTTCTTGGGGGGTCTATGGCTGCAAACAAGATTGCACCGAATGTCTGCGGTGTCTGAATAATATCAAAGGAAGCATCATCCTTTACTGAGACACAACGTTTAAGAACAACATATTTCATATTGCGGATAACGTTCCCATGCAACAGCTTTAATATGAGTCTTTAAGTCGTGGCTGTATGAAAGAGAGAGCAATTTACAGTAACAGGCTTTAACCACGCTGCATCTGGTTCTGATTAAGACAACACTTCGAATGTGACTGGATGGCAGCTCTTTTTTTTTTTCTCTCCTCGCAGCTGCCACGATACAGCAAGCTGGGAACCATTTGAGCTGGCGTGGCCTTCTTTTTTTCTGTTGTTGTTGATGTTTTTCTGCCATTTGTTTTCAAGATTAACCTATAGCACAATTTCTTCTCCAAAAAAAAAAACAAGGTGACACCTGGGTGATTTACCAAAGACTTAAGTGTTGCTGCCTGTGGGGTGGTACAAACATTGTGCAAGGAGAATGGGAGCTGCACACTGGGAGACAGATGTGCATCTCAATTAATACCATGTGGTCAAGCGTCTGTTGTAACTGAGGTACTTAGATAACAAGGAAATACTTGGCAAAACAAGAACACAAGCAGCCGCAGCAGCAGAGTACCACCGAGGCAGGTAGAGTTCACCAGAATAGTTATCAGTTATTATCTCTATTGGTTTTTCTTTTTTATCTCTGTTTCCAGGAAGTCCAGCCTGGGCCTGTAAATTCCTAAAAGTTAAACCCCATTGATTTAAAAGCCTACCTCTGGCACATGGTGTGCTGCCTTTCTGGAGGACGAGGTGGAAACCTGCAACTTATTAAAGTGATCATTTTAGAGCTTTTTTTTTATTTTACACATAGCCCCAGAGCTCCTTCTCTCTCTCTCTCTCT